ACTCCTTTTCCGTCATTTAATTTATTTTTTTTCGGTAAAATTTTGAGAAAGTCCAACTCTCTCAGGCACTGTTTTTCTGCTTCTTAACGACTCATCCCATTCTCATGACTGAAAGGTGGAGGTTTTTGGTAAGAAATTATATTAGCATGAAAAATTCTTGTCATCCATCACCATCAGTAAATATATATTAAAGGGCTAAAAAAACTCCCCACCCCCACACACAATGTTGTAATGTAATTATGAAGGGAAATTATTTATCCTATGCCTAAAATCCACAATTCAAAATAATATTGAAATTGGCCATCTAATTTTAACTTTTTCAAAATGGTTCTTTTTGATGGTGTCAAATTTGCAAATAGTGGACAGAGGCTCTTCTGTGAAATACAAACGGCCATTCTACCCTTCCTTTAAGGAATAATTTGGTGATAACAGTGTTTTAATGTATTACTCTTGAAGATACGTGAGTTCGTCACGTCTCAGCTTTAGACCTACCATTTGTACTTTTTAATAACTTGAGCTTCGGTGCTGAAAACTAGCAACTGTTCCTATTGAACTGAAAGGTTACTCAGAAGCCACTTGAATTCCAGCCAGCCTCAGACAAGATTAGCTGCCAAAGAGGCTACTGAGGGCCAGCTTGCCAAAGTTATGTTCCTTTTCAGGGAAAAGAGAAAAATTTAAATAGCTGGTTTCTTGACTTCTATTGTTTTCCCTTTCTACTTATCTACTTTCCATTGTGGATAAGTAATGAAAAGAATACTTTACACTTTCAAGATACTTTGAAGTGAGGAAAATTTCACAGTAGCAGCCAACTCTTTGAACCCTTCTTTCTACAAAACAGCATTGCACTGGGGGCTGGCCCAGTGGTGCAGTGGTAAAGTGTGCGTGTTCTGCTTGGGTGGTCCGGGCTTTGCTGGTTCGGATCCCGGGTGCGGACATGGCACCGCTTGGCAAGCCATGCTGTGGTAGACATCCCACGTATAAAGTAGAGGAGGATGGGCATGGATGTTAGCTCAGGGCCAGTCTTCCTTAGTAAAAAGAAGAGGATTGTTGGCAGATGTTAGCTCAGGGCTAATCCTCCTAAAAAAAAAACACAAAAAAAACCCCAGCATTGCATTGATGAATGAGAAAATATTTGTTTCATTGGGCACTCATTGTATCTTCATTGTGCCTTTTGGAAAGATAAAATTTGAGAATCTGTAAAGATGCATATGTGAGCGTGAGGGAGAGTGAGAGTGTGCACGTGCCCACACGCCAAGTTTAACAAAGATAAAGTGAAGCCCTTGTAAGTCATCGTGACACTTTATAACCATTAGAAACGGCTATATGTATGCCTGGCAGGCAGAAAAAGATATGTTTTCAGTTAACAGAAACATCAGTTGCATGTAGGGGTTTGTTCTGGCTTTCATTTTTCTGAACTGATGCATGCGTGGAACTTGAATTCAGATTGCTGAAAGCTGACGCCTCCCTCCATTGACTATCAGCTTTGTAACCTGTGTCAGGTAACTTAACCTCTCTGTGCCTCAGTTTTTCATCAGTAAAAATGGAGATAATTAGACGTGAAATTATGTGATGCTTGTGAATCAGCCGAGTGCAAGCATTCATTAGAAATTAGCAATTATTATTATTCATATACATAGTCTAATCTTAATAAATTGATTGCCCTAATTATTAACATAATATAGAACAATCTCAAAAATATACTGACTTTATCCTTTGAGAGAGAGTACTGCATTTAGAAGAAAGAAAATCAGAGAACTCTATTTAAATCTCAGAAAACATGATGGTTTCAAAAATGTGGAGTTTATGGACAACTTAAATGCCACTTCTAATTAAGAAAATCAAATATGCGTAAGGTATTTTTCTGTGAGGTGATGCCATATGAACCAAAAGGACTCCCAGAATCCATATTCCAGGTGTGCTTGAGTGTGTATCTACCTGTAGAGTAAGAAAAAGAAGAGAGGGGGCCAGGGCCCAGTGGCGTAGTGGTTAAATTCATGCTCTGCACTTTGGCCGCCCGCGATTTGCAGGTTTGGATCTTGGGCACGGACCTATATGCTGCTCATCAGGCCATACTGTGGCAGCATCCCACACACAAAATAGAGGAGGATTGGCCGAGATGTTAGCTCAGAGACAATCTTCCTCAAGCAAAAAGGGGTAGGTTGGCAATGGATGTTAGCTCAAAGACAGCCTTCCTCACACACAAAAAAAAAACACAAAATAAAAATTAAAAAAAAAAAAAAGGGGGAGAGAGGAGTGAGCTTAAATAAATACTCTTGAAAAAGTGGCATGTCAGCTACCCTGACCTCTTTTCACTTCCTCAAACTGCTAAGCTTTCCTTGTCCTCAAGGTCTTAACATATGCCGTTCCCTCTGCCTGGACATCTCTTTTCTCAGCACATCCCAGGGCTAATGTTTTTCTTTACCCTTTGGGTTTTAGCTTAAATATCATCTCATCATCCTAACTAAAGCAGTGTCTTCCCACCATCATTCTATTATCCCAGCCTGTTATTTTTTCTCCTTATAATTATTTTTTGATAACTTTTTAAAAATTGGTCTCCTTTACTGGAATATCAAGCTCCATGTTGGAAAAGAAGATTTAACCTTTTTTCATAGTCATATATTCCCAGCATTTAACTTATAGTTACAGTACTCACAGTTATAAATGCATGTTTTTTGGTAAATTTTAATCTCTTCATCAGTACCTATGATAACACACAAAGTTAATAAATTTCCCTATGCTCTCAAGAAAATTGAAGCTAACATTTTAGCTTTTACATAATCATGAAAGTACCACAGAAGGATGAACTTGCATAGCTTGATTACCATCATCTCCGTGGATATTTTGACATTAAGCCAAACGGTAAGCCAGTCACATTTGAGACTTCATTACTGGATGGATTTGAACAGTAATTATGTGCCATTTGCAAACTAAAGTATACAATGTTAATGAAAATGTGCTTCATCTCGGTAGCCTATATTATGGCTGAATTTTTAGAGTCAGGAGCTCTCATTATCAGTAATGAGTTTATGGTTTTGTTTGTGAAGAAACCAACAAAGCAGGGGTTAGCAATTCATTTTCTTGTTAATCATCACAGGAAAAAAAGTTAATTCTTCTAAACTGAAAAGAGATGACAATATCAGAAATGAAAAAATTATCTCCCCCAGCCAACACAAGCAGACAGTATAAGACAGACAGACTCTTTCCCCTTGGTTCTTGGCCTTGGAAGTCTATCCCATTTAGCTCTGTTCTAAAAATGTGGGCCTGACCAGTGTGGCAACGGAATGTCTGTCTATCCAGGCAGGTCAGGAGGAAACAGTTGAAGTCAGCTCTGACATTGGCTTAGCATAGTCCCATACATAAGGATGCTGTTTGGAGTCTTGAGGATTTGGGATGGAACATAACTTCGTCTAGAATCAAGGTAGCTTGAGGATACTAGGAGAAATTGATTTTGCCCAAGAGCACTGCTTTAGACTTCATATGACTATTTGCTACAGAAATAGATGACCAATTTGGGATCAAAAGTGCCACTCCTGAATAGGCTTTTGACTCATCCTTTTGGCTTTAAAAGAGAAAATACAAGAACCCTCAAGAAAATTGATCCTGGAAATATACATGACTGTGAAAGAGTAAAGTACAGCATCAAAAAAGCAAACTAAAGGAAAAGCATGATGCTTTTTGTGCAAATATTTGACGCAGAAGTGAAAAAAGACAGAAACTGAAGAGTGGATAAAACCAGAAATTAATCCCATTAAACCAAATTTTCCTATAAGCAAAGATCACATATTTGGAGTGAGAGTTCTGAGAATAAAAGGAGAAGATCCTGGTTGAGGTATTATTGGTGGTGGTTAGGTGCAAATTGCATGCTGGAACTGTACAATGAGGAAGGAGAATATTAAGATGGAGAAGAGGAAACATGGGTAGCTGAACACGAGATGTGCCTGCAAAGGCGAATACACCGAAGATCAGCTAATCACTGTAGGAACCCAGGGGATCGAGGGTACATCTTGCAATGAACCTATTCTGGAATTATGGAAAGTTGTGGACTGCCAGCTGTTCTTCACTGAAGACTACTTGAGGCAGAATGACCCAGAAAGTCCATATGGTACTGAAGGCAAAGCTTAATTAGATCTATCACTTCTAACTGCATAAATCCACACTCCTAGAAGGAAGCAGATTAATTGTAATGCATATGTGAGGAGGGTGACTTTCAAAAAGGCAGCAGCTCTGGAGGCTAGAACATGCTACTCTTTAATAGTGGCCATCTTTGAGTGGGAAGATTTAAGGTGACAGTTACTGGTGTCTCTCTACCATGGGCACATGTAATTTCTATAATGAAAAATATTTTGAAAGTATATCCTATTATAGAGACAAGGAATGAATGTTATGTGGCTCCTTCTATAAATTACACTAAACATCAGTTCATGGTCACATCTCATATTGTAAAATAGTCAAAAGGTTAGTAAATTGGTGCAAAGATTCAAAAGATCATTGCCAAAAGTCAATGTAGCATTTTTTTTAACTGCTTAATTATTTAAACCTAGCAACATTTCTCAAAATGTGCAATTAAAAGCTATATTTGATTATTAGCAAAGGACTTTTTATTTATTTATTTTTTGCTTGAGGAAGATTGTCCCTGAGCTAATAACTGTGCCAGTCTTCCCCTATTTTGTATGTGGGATGCTACCACAGCATGGCTTGATGACAAGCGTGTAGTTCTGGGCCCAGGATCTGAACCCTCAAACCCCAGGCCACCCAGGCAGAGCATGCAAACTTTACCACTACGCCACCAGGCTGGCCGCTGCAGAGGACTTTTTCAATCTCTGTTTGAAACAGAATGAGACCGCACACAATTGGTGTGCGTGTTATGATCTTCCTTTCATTATGGAGTTCTTTTTTTTAAAATTTTTTTATTGCAGTAACATTGGTTTATAACATTATATAACGTGCAGGTGTACATTGTGATATATTTCAAATTCTGTGGAGATTACATCATGTTCCCCACCCAAAGACTAATTACAATCCACATTATGGGATTCTTAATGACAGAAATTTTGTGTCTTCACTGAGGTGTGACCTGAACGTTTGTCAAGGTGATTAAGTTTAGAATGCCAACATTGTGGCAATAGGGCCTGAGATCCTTTATAGAGTATTAATTATGCTTCCTGGGAATTTTGTACTGTGCTACGCCTACTATAGGAAACCCTCTCGGAAGATTAGGCATCGATTTGCAAGTGTGTTGGTGTAGAAAAACTCATATCTCCCTTGTGAACTTTACTGGAGCAAAAAATTGCAATGCGTTTTCTATTCCCCATGCATTTTACATTCACTCCTAACAATATAAGTAACCTATTTATTAATTTGTTATGATTCCAATTAAGGTGCATTCGATCTATAACTTTTATCCTTAAGCTCCTATTCTACTGTCTTTTCTAGCATTTATATCATGAAGGGTGGTCTTAGCCCAGAGATGAAAGGAAGGAAGGAAGGAAGGGAAGGAACAAGGAAGATTTTCTTAAAAACACTATTCTTTCATTTGCATGAGACTTGACAAGATAAATCCCGCCCACCACACTCAAACAAAAATGTAGTTTGTAGTGACAGAATTTTATGTTTACTTTAAGAAACCTGGAAGTGTGTGTTTCTTCATAAACAAATTATAAAAATGCAATCCCGTTAGTACAGGAAATTAATAAGTACCTTTCCTTCTCAAGCCTCAATCATCTTATATATAAGAAGATTTGGACTCAGTTGTTCTATGACTCTTAATGCGAGCCAAGCTTTGAAATTTCTTTGTAATTTTTATTATGACAATTCATACTGTTATTTATTCCAGTGACTTTATTTCCAAAGGTAGTTTCTCAGTTGGAGAAGCAGTTCAGAGTCATTTTGAGCTCCGTTAAACTCATTGCTTAGAGCTGTGATTACTTTCAGGTCCTAATTAAATGGGCAAATCTCTCTTATGCATCTTGTTTGGGAAGTCACAGGCAATCAAAAGTAGTTTGATGTTATGATTGATGAGCATTATTTGATTTCTGCTGTCCAACAATGTGTATACTCTTTATTATCTATGAATTGTCTTATTGGCATAGGATATACTTTCTGTGGCAGGGTGGTGGAAAGGGATCATTAAATGAAACATTACATGCTTTGTCTTTGAGAGAATGTTTCATTTGAAACAGAAACATCTCAAACATACCATGTGCGTGTTACTATAGAACCGAAAAGCCCTTTCCAGTTGTTTACACTTCGGATGCAAAATGGCAATTTGACATAGACTAACAGTGTGATGTGAGCATCTGCGTAAAAAGGCTACATATGGAGCATGCCCAGTGCGGTGAGTGCGTCCTCCGCCCTCCCCCTCCAGATCTCTGAAGATAAGGCTTGAACTTTACACTTGCAAATGTCACTGCATACGTTCTGCACTAGGTTTTTTTTTTTTTTTTAAAAGGTTCTCTTACAACTAATTTCCTTGAACGATCCAAGAGCAGGGAAGAGAATCCTTAGGGTAGTAAGGTGCATTAAGTTCAGAACGAGTTGATGCCTGTCTTTGAATGCACTTGAAGTGTTCTTTATTTTTAAAGCAATATAAAGCATTCGAGGGTTTGTTTTCCCCCCTGGAATGGGAAAATAAGAATCTTCTTGGATTGCAGTCCTCCGGGGTAGGGAGTGAAAGCCCCGGAGGCAGAAAGGGACGGAGAAGAGGGGCTTGCCCAGAGCATGGATAGCAAAGGAGCAGAGGTTCTCCAGGGCTCGGCGCGCGCTGAGGATCTGTGCCCGGGGCTGCAGCTGCGGACGAGAAAAGCGCTGTCTGGCTAATGAAGGCCACCTGGATCAGGCTTCTGAAAAGAGCCAAGGGAGGAAGGCTGAAGAATTCGGATATCTGTGTAAGCTCAAGGGCTTTCGTTTGGGGGAGACGTTATTTGGTTGTCGCTACTGCTGTTGCACTGAGTGCTGGCAGGGGCTCCCGCGATTTAGTAATATGATCCTGATTGCTAGAGAGGGAGCCAGGGAGAGTCCTGTAATTTTCGGAGCTTTTTTCCCCCTGTCGTGATTTATTGCTGTCGGCGATATCCCGGGCAGGTGTTTTCTGTAGCCAGCTTTCCTGAAACCTCTATTTAAAGGTATTGAAAAATGTGTGGCTTAGAAATTGAGTGAAGCTGGCTGCTGTCGTCTCACAGTTTTGTCAGAGAAGGTATCAGGTGAATAACAAGGGTACAAAAGGATGCTTAAGATTCAAGTGGGAGTCATCTCACGGTTGTGACATTTCAGAGAGTTCAAGTTCCTAACTCAGACTTTCTTTTAGGTTTTTTTATTAGACGTGCCTTCTTTTGAGTTGTAGATACGTGCGTTAGCTTGTAGATTGTTCTTGAAGCTATCCTTGAAACCCGCCTATGCCCTTCAGCCCGGCACTGCACCACGGAGCTGGTTTAATTATAAAGGAACTTCATCTGGCTTCCAGAAAGGATACTCGTTGGAACATAAGGCTTGGGAAGGAATGGGAACTTGGTAGGCACCGCTAGCCTAGTGAATGGTCTGCAAACCAGAGCAGGGTTTTTCCAGATGGTTTGCCACAAAATGGATTATTTTCTCCTCTTTTCAGGAATTTATAGCACAATCTAGGAAGCTGACTGCCATGTCGAGGAGACTTTTCCAATGCAAACATCATAAATGGAATCTATTTTAAAATGTACATTTTCCTCCCAAGGGTTCGGCAGACTCCTACACCAGCCGTCCATCTGACTCAGATGTTTCTTTGGAGGAAGATCGAGAGGCAGTGCGCAGAGAAGCAGAGCGACAGGCCCAGGCGCAGTTGGAAAAATCCAAGGTAAAACCATTTCTCCTCTGCCAAGTGCTCTCTTTGCCAGTTGTGCTGGGCCTGCGATGGGCCACCTGTGGAAGTTTCTCCTAAAGCGAATGTTTGGTTACTTATGGTCTGGTTTAAAAGAGATGCAGGATATGGAGCGTATTTTCTACCTTGGCAGAAAGAGGAAGTGTGATATATAAGAGTGGTCCTGCCTTTATGTTGTTTTATAGTCTAAATAACTCATTTCCACGAGTGGATTGTTTATTTAGACACAAAAAAGGACCTCTGAATATACACAGAGGAAAAACCATCTAATATCAAAATGATTTTCCTTCATTTTTTCCAGTAAACCGTATCTGTTTAGAAAAATAAACTTTCTTCAAGCTAATGTTTATTTTCCTAGATTTGAAAACCTTCCCCCCAAATTTTACTCTGTCGGTGTTTTATAATAGTCTTATATCTAAAAAATGGATTTCATTATGCTTTTCAAAAATAAAGCAACAAAGGATTTATTAATTAAAAATATTTCTTCCCTCGGAGCACCTTCTTCTCCATCCCATAATAATAAAGTGCGTATGTATGGAAGGGGGACTGGAAATCAGATTTAAAATATATAAGTGCAGGCTTGAGCTGAGATTCAATTCTAGTGTTCCATTTCACTAATTACAAAGATTAGAATTCATCTTCCCATGCAGTTGTTCCAATAGCAGCTATTCCTAAAGCATACGTTGTTCAAGTTCAAGGTACCTTGGCTTGTGTGATACTCAGTAACTTTTAAATGAATGTATTTTGACACGGTTGTTGGTTTTCTTTTGAAAAAATTACTGCTTTGAAAAAAGAGTAAGTACTGTGTTGATCTTGCGGAAAAAAAAATCAAGGATAACATTAGAATACTTCTGCTGGCTGCTTCGTCTCTGAGATGAGTCAAATCTGTGTGTGTTGCTATGGGAATCGTGGAGTGGAGACGGTGGTTCGAATGCACGGACAGCCCTTATGTAATATTCATGACCTCCAGCACAGCTGCCATAGTAGTTTACAGGGGAACTGCCAGGAGACCTTGACTTTTAAAAAGCAGTATTTCTGTACGACAAAACAGTGTTCTCATTTCAGTGGCAGGGAAGTCATCTCCAGGTCTGACAGTCTTGCCTGCAAGATGGCTCATAAACAGCAGGAGCAGGCAGCTGATAAAGCAAGGTGTGGCCATTAACTAATCCGCTTTACCAACGTTAACCATTGAAAACATTATGATGCAAAACAACCTGGGTGAACCTGGAGGACTTAGGCTAAGTGAAATAAGCCAATCACAGAAGGACAAACGCTGTGTGATTCTTCTTACGAAGCACCTGCAGTAGTCGAACTCACAGGAGCGGAGAGTAGAATGGGGGTTGCCAGGGGCTGGGGGAGGAGGAAATGGGGAGTTGCTATTCAACAGACATGAAGTTGCAGTTATGTAAGATGCATAAGTTCCACAGATCTGCTGTACAACCCTGTGCCTATAGTTAACAGTTAAAAATTAGTTAAAAGGGTAGATCTCTTGTTAAATATTCTTACTACAATAAAAAAATTATGAAGTTGAAATTAAATAACGAAGAAAAATGACGATGCATGATCAGTAAAGTTCATTGCCACAAGTATGTTTCCATTTAGAATCTGAATTCTACCTTCTATATTTTGCACCAAAGTGCAAAGAAAAGTCAAGAAGAAAACTAACAGTTTGTATTCCAGAAATAAGAGTGTTCTGTTTGCACTAATTTATTCATGTGGTTTTCATGTACCAAAATTAAACAGTTTCTCAGATTTATACCACATCATCATACAACTCAAGGTCTTGTAGATTTGGTTTTCAAAGCATTTACTAATCTGTCTGGACATTTTTGCCCGTGACTCTGTGCGGCAAGTCCCGAGTTAAGCGCCACAGCTGCATAGAACTTTTAAATATCTTTAAATATCTTTCACCCCAGGGTGGATCAAAATGTTGATCCTAAATCAAACCAGGTTCGTATTACTTGTCATACAGACTAAAAAGTTACAAATGATGTAGAAGATGAAAGAAAATGAAGAGAGTTTAAAACAAAGGCGAAATAACTGAAGGGCTCTTTACCATGTTTAATGAAAATAGTTGATTTACCCTGGTTTTTCTGCTTTAAAATTAGGTCAATATCTTAAACCTTTGATGTATCCAGATGAGTTACACTGGGGTAAGTGAGAGTTTGAATATGCTGGGAAAGAAGATAGAAGGACTAGGATTTAAGTTTGCTTTATGTTAAAATCATGGTTTGGTAGGTCTGGTTTATTAATTCCAAAATTCTTGAAGAAGGAATGCAAAAGAGGGATTGTTAGATGGCTCATTCATTGGGTTATTTTTATCTGTTTCTCTCCATCATGGCTTTGTGGGACCTATTTGAAAATGAAGGCTTAAAGTTTAAAAACATGTGAATTCATCGTTTAATAGTTTAAAACCCTTCGCACGTCCATTTTGGAAGAATCACAAGTTTTCTACATTTATTTTGTAACCATCATTGCATCTGCTCAAGCAGAAAGACTTTATAAGCGGGTTCCAATGTTCAGATCACGTGCAGGAAGTCTGTGCAAATGCTTGGAATAAAGCTCGGCAGTACTTTCAGATTCTGGCCCTCTATAAATACGAACTACATTATCCATTAATTGCCTTAATACATCTATGAAATAATTTAATAATAATAAGGATAAGGTGATTGTCGAGCAGTGAGACTAGAGACACTGCCTTTTGAAAATAAGTGACCTATAAAAGGTTATATAACCAGGCCCTCTGTGTTTCGAATAAAACATAATACTTTTCACTAGCACTTTGTATGGCTTCTCTTAAGCTAGTAAACTCTACACTGAGCAGATTATATATTAATTTTGAGCCAAGTAAGTATCAACTGACGTGACCTTGTTTTTTAATTTGCCATACTTTGCAAATCTTGCCTTATTTAAGCTGGTGCTCTTTGATTTTTGCCTTAAAGACAACTGGTATAGGAGTTTAAGTTATTCCCGTATTGATCTTTTTTAAAATACAGCTTTATTGAGATATAATTCACTCATTTAAAGTATATAATTCAATGGTTTTTAGTATATTCAGAGTTGCACAACCATCACTACAATTTTAGAACATTTTCATTGTCCCCCAAAGAAATCTCATGTTCTCAGTTAGCAGTCACTCTCCACTCTCCCCAACCCTCTCAGCCCTAGGCAACCCCTATTCAACTTTCTGTCTCTATAGATTTGTCTATTCTGGACATTGCTTATAAATGGAATCATGCATTAGGGGATCTGTTCTGACTGGCTACTTTCATGTATATAATATTTTCAATGTTCATGACTGTAATAGTGTGTATCAGTACTTCATTCCTTTTCATTGCTGAATGATATTCCATTATATGTATATAGCACATTTTATTCATTTACCCGTTGGTGGACATCTGGGTTGTTTCCTCCTTTTAGCTATTGTGAATAATGCTGTTATGAACATTCATGTACAAGTTTTTTGCATGGACTTATATTTTCATTTCTCACATGTGCATATCTAGAATGAAATTGCTGGGTCATATGATCATCTTTTTTATTTTTTGGTGAGGCTGAGCCAACATCTGTTGCCAGTCTTCCTCTTTTTACTTGAGGAAGATTGCCTCTGAGTTCACATCCCTGCCAATCTTCCTCTATTTTGTATGTGGGACACCCCCAGAGCATGGCTTGGCGACCAGTTTATAGGTCCCGGCCCAGGATCCGAACCTGTGAGACCTGGGCCACTGAAGCAGAGCGTGCGAACTTAACCACTACACCATCGGGCCAGCCCCATGATCATCTTTTTTTAATTGAGACAATAACTCTCTTCTTTTCCCCCTCACTCCCCAAAAATGATCTCTTCTCTACATGCAGAGACTCTGAGTTGGGAAATCTGGATGTGGAAGGGATTGGAGCAGGTATGAAACAGGTTCAATGCGATATTCTTAGCAGAATGGATTAACATTAAATTTTAAGTCGATTGTTCCTTCATTAGTGGATGTCTACTGGATTAAAGAAATTGTATTAGGCACAGTTGGTGAGCAGAGGGATTTCAAAGCCAAAGCACAGAGAAGAAACAGGCAGATCTTTTGGCTGCAGGAAGCTACTGTTTGTTTAGGGAGAAAAGTCTTGGCCTTAAGTCATGCTAATAAGAAGTAGAATGGAAGTACCTTAGGGGGAGTAGAGAAGTCTGTGAGCATCAGAGGAAAGGACTGCACCCTGTTGGCAGAAACAGAAAATCCTTCTTGGAGGAGGTGGTGATTTAAAACTAGACCTTACAGGATGGACAGATGGAGTTTAGCTGAGAAAGTAGGGAGTGGGGAGTGGAGAAGAAGGAAATGCTTCCTAGACTTAGTAAGTAATGTCAGTAAAGGCCAATATGAAGAAAGGCTTGGCTGCAAAAAAACATGGAACCTTCCAGAGAAAGGTCAATTTTTTGAGATCTTGCCAACTAGAAAATTTCTTTATCCTAGCCTCACATTTAATTAATAGTTTGGCTGGGTATAGTATTCATATATGAAAAACATTTTCTCCTTCAGAAATTTCAAGACATTATTTTGTTGTCTTCTAGCTTCCAGCACTGCTGTTATGATTGCCGATGTCATTCTGTCTTTTGGTGTGATTTTTTGTTTTTTTAATTTTCTCTAATATGTTGAGAACTGTTCTTCCTTTGGTATTTTGAAGTTTTGCCTTCTTGTGGGTCTTATGATTTATTGTGCCTGGCGTCTCATATGAATGTTCATTGTGAGGGGCCAATCACTTTAGTTCTGCAAAGTGTCTTATTTTTTGTGTGTGTGATAATTTTTTCTCCTGCGTTTTCCTCTTTTTCTGGTTCTCTAGTTTGTCAGATGTTTAATTAGAGCTTTCTTCTCTACTCATTTTTTTCTCTTCTATCCCTCTGTCTTCTACTGAGTTTTTCTCTACTTATCTTCTAAGCCATCTATTGAAATTTTTATTTTTGAAAATTTCTGGTTTCTAAGAGCTTTCTTCTCCTC